CTGTTTGTGCTGTTCCATTTTTCAAAATAAGTTCATAATTGTTGTTCTATGCTTTCACTGGTTCGAATCTCACTGGTTTTTAAACCTGATGAAGATAGATATAACTATCATATTCGAAATAAGAAAGTCTTGGAAAACCAGATATTTCACAAAAAGTAGAAAAACAAGAAATTCTTTTCATGCCTCAGAAGTGATTAATACACTCCTCAAAAGTGAAATTGCAACACTTCAAAGGAATGTGCATAGCCATATGCACATTGCAAGACCAGTAGAGGTGACAGAAATATGCAAATGATTAAAAGAACAAACAAAAATATATAGTAGAGCCCTGAAAACTCAGCACTCGATAACATGGCAGTCCGAATAACTCGGCCACACCCTGGCAGGGCAAAAAATCCCCTAGTTAATTTTCATTATAGACAGCTTTAGGCCTCAAAGTATTTTTCTGAGGTCTGTCTTATCAGGTAAATTACTGTACACTATGTATTCATTAATTTTCATTTTTATGTAGTAAAGGCTCTATGCCTTCATAAAGTACATACTTTCCTTTGTTTAAGGGTATTTGGGCAGTTTATTCTCTGTTGTACTCTCAAGCAAAGAATACATACAAGTACTGTACAATACAGTATTTTCTGAAGAAACACTCATACTTATTCTTTTTTAACCCCATTCCCGATAACCCGGCATTTTCACAAACTCGGCCACCCTTCAGTCCACGTTACGCCAAGTTTTTGGGACTCTACTGTACAACAGATGCTTGTTTATTCAGTAATAAATATGACCCCATGGGCCACTATACGGTGAGACATACTATCAATTAGGCAATCAATAGTTGCCTGAGGTATCCCTTTCCAAGCTGCATCTACTGAGATATGCATGTTATCTACAGTATATGGTAGTGGTCCCTGGTGCACCTCATGTTGGACAAGGTCCCCACAGGTGTTTGATGGGAGAAAGATCTGGTGAGGCTGCTAAACAAGGAAGGATGTGAATTCCATTCATGTGGTGAGAGTTTGCTGTCCAATATGCAATCAGGCATTGTCTTGTTGGAACACTGTGTTGAATGCAGCCTGAACCAATGGCCAAACAACAGGCTCCACAATTCATGTGATGTTCTGGTCTGCTGTCAGAATAACAGAAATGTGCACCAGGGCTGTTTGCTGATCAAACATGATGCCTTCCCAAACCATGATGCTTGATGTGACACTCGACGAAAAGGACTGGCATGTAACATTCCCCAGGATACCACCACATCCATCATTCCTCCACACACAGAAGTTGGATTCATCCAAAATACCTGATGTCATTCAGTGGTTCAGTTGCAATGATGACAACACCATGCCAGGTGTGGAACCTTGTGTCAAGTTGTTAACGGCACTTCTATTGCTGGTTGCCGTGTGTGTAGCCTGACTTTGTGCAATCTGTTGCAAATGGTTTGGGTGGACACACATGCACCCATTGATGGCAACATGCAGTTTCGGATGTCACATGCCTTGGCAAAAAGGTTCCAATGGGCCATTCTGCAAATCTGCTCATCTGTGCACTCTGTCTTGTACTGATGCAATCTACATCCTCTTCAGTGTGTTTGCGGATGTTCCTGCATCTATTGTGTCACACATTGCTGGATAATACTCATGTCGTGCTCAACGCGTGTGACAACTGTGTGCATCGACAAACCAAGGCTGCACATCTCCAGGATAAATCACATTTCCCAGGTATTAACTGGTGGTATTCAGCTTTCTGTCTTCTCTGAGACATTTTCTATGCTTCTTCAAAAAATCAGATGTTGTAAACTGTCATTGATAGCATTTATGGCCCAAGCCAGTTGCTGGTTTTTGCAGTATGCATCCGGATTTGTAAATTTCCAGTGCTTCCAGATTTCACAGGTGTTCCACCTGCAAAATCTGGAAGCACTGGAAATTTGATCAGTTTGGCCTTTCTCACCGGGTGGAACACCTGCGAAATCTAAAAGCACAAAGCTGGGTAACGCACCAATTGCATTAACGCTAATGATGCGGTCAATGTGTCACACACTTGGAAGTACTGCTATGAAGTAGCGGGTGACGCCACTCCAGCATGTAGAGATCACATCCCCATTTGGTGTATTTATTTTTATATATATTTATATAATTGTATGTATTACATATGTCATTCCGTCGCCATGGCAATGCACATGCATAACTGTATTCTTTTAAAATCTGTTTGTGCTGTTCCATTTTTCAAAATAAGTTCATAATTGTTGTTCTATGCTTTCACTGGTTCGAATCTCACTGGTTTTTAAACCTGATGAAGACCAAACGTATGGTCGAAAATGTTTGTTTGCTATTAAATTGTTTACTACTAAATTGTTTACTACTGGACGTTTAAGGTTTAGGAGTGTTAATTTATATGCTTTCCAGTATTCACGTAAGATTTTAAATTTAAATTCCTGTTTTTATTTTTTGGAAAAAAACTACATAAAGCTAGCAATTTCAAATTACTAGCTTTACTCTATAACATAATTGTTTTTGTATCTAAAATGGTCTTAAAAAACTATATAAATGTAGTTTTCATCCAAAATTGTACTTTAAAAAATATACTAATAATTTTTTAGATTAAGATCATAATAGAAGTAAATTTTTTCATATATAAAATGTTTCAATTTCAAAACAAAAAAATACTGTATAATGTCAGATTGACTGTTCATGTTAATACATTGAATTTTAAATCAAAAATTATAAAACTATCATGAAAAATCATTCAAAATTTAAAAAAATCTCTATAGAGTCTTCAGAAAAATATTATTTATAATACAGTTTAGATTTTTAAAAAAACTATAATTGATTTTTGACATTGTCAATGAATTTTAGAAAAATAAAAATATATTTTCATAATGATGATAACCTAAAATGATAAATTTGTTGATATATTATGTAAATATTTCTAAATCTCAAAGTTGTAGTCATTTACTTTACTGAGATGAATTGAATAAGATTGAATATATTAAATTCATGAAAATTAAAAATGATACTGTATATTTTTATATTATTAGTTTATCAACTTTTACACAATGATTCAAACCTCTTGGATGACAACTGGAAAAGTGTGGTATACATTATCCCAGGCAAAAATAAGGTTTTCAATATTAACACTGTTTACATTAGTTATATGGCAAGATATCTCAACAAGAGGCTATCCAAGCATGAGGATAATAATAAAAGAAAAGGAGATAATATAGTATTATCATTATTCATTCAACTTTCTGGAGCTAGAGCACATTAGCAAGTTGCTACAATTATCAGATATATCTCCCAGCTTTTCCACACCAATAGAATAAAGTGTGAAATCTTCATGCACTTCTATTCTATTGCATCTTCATGGAATCTTCATGCTGTTGCATCATTTATTTTCTACGTGTCTAAACATCAGGGACACAAACCCTTTCCTATTGCCTAAAAGTTTCTGTTAAATTTATTGCATTAACCACTTTCATCATAGCTTATCTTCTCTGAATTGTTTACATGAGTCTACTCAACTAATTGTGCTATACCATTACTATCCCATTTTAGTTCCATTTTAACCAGTTAATGGGAATACTGAAGATGGCCCATTAACTGGGTAAAAACAATGTCACAATCAAACATTTTACACACTACTAAAGATGTTATGCTCATTTATAAGATAAATATTAAATTTCTTAATATCCTCAATATTATATGAAATAATATTGATATAATGAATATAAAAAATGTGTTGAACTTTTCACATTTATACTGTAGTTTCTAAATCTTCAGAAATTAAATTCTAATATAATAATCTTTCTTTTTTCGTATAATAATATTTTTATATAAATTTTTTTACATATTGCACAGATATTACCTGGATCAGTAGTTGTCCAAGTTAAATTAAAACCATCAGCTGCTGTATCACCATCTGAATGAAATAGCATGTAGAGAAAATTATGCGTACTTATTATATTTCCATTTTTTGGTGCAACATTACCACAGAATCTGCCTATAGCATTGTCAATTGCAGAAGGACCATCATTTATTTGTAAGAAATCATAAGAACAATCTGGTGAGTATTCAATATTAAATCTGTTAAATGTCACATTAAAAACCTAAAAGAAAAAATATTAAATTAATAACTTCTAAAATATGTTTATTCCTTTAAATTTAAATACAAATTTTAAAGAAAAAGTTAAGTATATTTAAAAATAGTAATCAATACTTTTATTCTATACAGTTAATAAAACTGTATAAAGTATATTTTAGGATAGTTAATAAACAATTTAGAAAGTCAAGGTAAGAAGTAAAAAAGTAATATTATTGCTAAAGATCAAAAAAAATAAAATAATGACTAGTATTGGTGATATTAGGATAAAACAAGAAAGAAATTGAATCTACTAATTATATTTAATTTGTGTGTTGGTAAGCTAACTTTCTTTTTTTTTTTTCTTTTTGAATCACTTCTACAAACCTGGGGTATTATCTTAATATGTCTGAATTGACTCAAAAGACAGAATGTAAACTCCATCAAGACTGAGGGAGTGAATCATACCCAATACAAATTAATAATTTGAATACTTCATGATAAAAATGTTAAGTACTTTTCTCACAAAGTATTCAGCAAATAGAGGTGAGGTGATCACATCATGCAAAATAGTAAGTTAAACTGAAAAGAAGAAGAATCAAAAACCACCTTTGGAACAAATCTCATATGAACCTATTAGAAGGACTGAGCATAGCATTATATCTCCAAGGATTTTGTTCCAAGCTCAAATCAGACATCTGAAAATTAGTAAAATGTCATCATTTGTTAGAACATTCATGAATCTGAGGTTTAGTTGTAGAAGCCAAATCTGTGGTTGATGTTCTTCAAACTCTTGACAACATCAGGAATCCATCATACACAAGACTACCGTATGTGAGTTATACACTTTGTGAATGTTACAGTTAACCTTGGCAGTTAAAGATTTTTCCTCCTTTTGTAACATTATTGAAAGAATAGTCTTAAGTAATAAATGCACTAAATACCAGATAATATTCAAAAACACTTACACAATTAAAAGTCCAGCTCATGAAACAACAGTGGAAAAAATAAACATTTTCAATTGCTTTTAGCAATCATCCTCAAGTTAAAGAACTTATTTGAAAACATATAACAGAATAGAATGTATGATAGAATGTAGTAATTTAAAATATAAAATAAATGTCCAATTGCCTGTCAAATGTCACATGTTTGTATTGGATGTAAATAGGTAGATGTAAAAATTAAATATCCAATAATGCCCTCCAGCCCAGGAATACTGTACAAACATAAGTTCAAATTTTTTCGAGCACTTCAGTACCTTTTCTGGAAATACTTCTGAACATCCTCCTGGTGTCCATATCATTCACTGTTTGTGTAGTTTTTCCAAGGAAGAAAATATGAAAGGAACCAGTGTTCCTTTCTTTCATATTTTCATTCATATTTTCCACTCAAGGAAAATATCCAGCACTCTGATGTCACTCAGTCATTTGTAGTTGAAGCTGCATATGGACACCAAGTAGTGGTTTCTATAGGAACTAAAGCATGATAATGTAATTCTAGTGCAATGTTTATTATTTGCAAGTTTTAAGCTTGTGTACAAGTGTTATTTTGAGATGTTTATATATCCTTAGTCATTTTCTATCTCTAGGCACAGAAGAATTTTGTGAAAGAAGTGAAAAGGATGAAAGCTGTGACATGAATGAGAAACATGATATTCACATTTCAGACCATCACACTGACAGAGAAATATAAGAAAATGGTGATAGTAGAGAGAATGAGAATGTAGAAGTGACTCTGGTGCAAATTTAAGGACAAATAAGCTTCAGACCAGTCCAAAGCCTATGTGTCCTTACATTGTCTAGCGATACAGACTATAAATGAACTTTGTCTAACTCCTAGAGAAATTAATCAATACAGTATTATATAGTAAGAAAGCTTTCATGAGAAAAATTTTAAAAATTGTTGTAAACAATTGATCAAATAAAATGTTTCTCTTATGTATAACAGGAATTTTCAATTTACTATTTCAAAAATTAATTTATCACAATTAAAACTACATCATAATATACAGATATCATTTCAAAATATTTTTATTTCTGAAAATTAATAAACATACTGTATATAAAATTCAGTAGAGGTTTAATATACTTTAGGGGATCAAAATATGAAAAAAATGTGTATAGATATTTCAAATTACACAATTTATACAATGTAATAGTTTAAAACATCATCAGAAAATTTTATGTGTAATCATGTAGAATTTTAAAATATTATCATATTAAAATTCTTCAAAATTTTGATTTTTTATTTTCTGTTTACTCTGTTAAACAGGAAACAAGTTAGCAACAGAAACAAAATATCTGAAATGTTTTAGTTAAGAATTAAACTAAATTCTAAAATTAAACTATTTCTTTTTTTTTTTATAAATTCAAATACTTTTATTCGCCCTCTTGCGTAGAAATTAGAAATTTCTACACAAGAGTATTTATAATATACGTACCTCTCTGCCTTTTACCCATGTGCTCCTTCCAACCAAGTAATAAAGTAATTACTTTATTATTTGGTTTGCAATTACTTTATTATTTTGTTGGAAGGAGCACACCAGTAAAAGGCAGAGAGGTACATGTACTTTTATTGGATTTATGGTAATTTGCAAATAGAATGTATTACAAATAAAATTGAAAATAATGAAAAGAAAGCAAAGTTACTTTTCCTGGTATTGTAGATAATATCCAAATACAATCTTTTTCATGTGGATATTCAGCTAGAGGACCAGTTGGATACTGAATACTTCCAATTTCTTGATGAAAATTTCCACTACAAACTAAAACAATTTATTATATAATTTTATATAGTATAAAACTCAACTTCTTAACATTCAAAACTTTACTACACAATTATTTCAACATAAAACAATTATATTCTTATTTACTCTTGTTAAATATTAATACATATTTTAATATAAATAACAACTTCACTTTTATGGGTATGCTCTTCAGCTCTGATAAGGTACCAACCGTCTCATTCAGAGCTTGAATTATACCTACACCATTGCCTTCAGCATCTTAAACATTCCTGCCAGATCCTATACGTGTACTGCTTTTATGCTTGGCAAGAGGTTCCTTTTTCATCCGAATCGTGGATATTACAGCCTTTCTATTACTTGTTAGACTTCATTGCTTCCAAATACTTCTCAGATTCCATGATTACTAAGTAAAGGTTACATTTGATTGAACGGAAAGTTTTTGCATTAATTTTTATCAACCGCATCTCCTCTGTTTTTACCGGGTGCTCGCTCTCTGGTGTTTAAAAACAAAACTATTTTATCTGTGTTGTTTGAATTGTTCTTGTGTATTGTCAGGAGTAAAGATGAATAGTAATAGGAAAAGCAGAGCTTTTGAATTGAATTCCAAATTTGTTTTATTTTATCCTGAAAAAGTTTATTATTAAAAAAGAAATTTAAAATTCACTTATGACGTTGAAATTTTATGAAGTAGACTAACTATACTCATATATCCTCCAATTTGACAAGTTTGATTGATAAAGAATCTAGAAGAATTTTCTACAATAATTATTGTATAATTCTTCAGAATTAATAGCAAGTTTGAGACCGAAGTTTTAAACGCGGAAACGTGTACGTCGGACGTTCAGCGCCGCTTTCCTGTAAGCCTAGAAGTTTGACAATGGTGTTTGGATAGTCAGTGGAATCATGCTCGACATTCCAAACACCATTGTCAAACTTCTAGGCTTACGGGAAAGCGGCGCTGGACGTCCGATGTACACGTTTTCGCGTTTAAAACTTCGGCCTCAACCTCGCTAATGTGAAAAGAATACAAGTTACTTGAGTACTAATCTAAATGTATTTGAGACAAACTTGTTAATAAATTGAACTCCAGTAAAGAAGTAGTTTGGTTTGTTATGTATAATTTTTCCTTTTTCTTTAAATGAATAATACTGACACACAGATTCTCCAGAGAAGTCACCCATGGCACAGGTATACAGTACGTGAATCTATTTACATGATGATAAAAGCATACACTATATATACATATATATTTTAGATCAATAAGATCTCTTAAAAATAGTCTCGGGTTGGACGATAAACAATATGATTACGCTATGCAAGAGCAATAACTAGTAAGATTCTAGCTCTGAATGAGGCGGTTGGGACCTTATTAGAGCTGTATATTATATCCATAGGAGTAAAATAGTCAAAAGGAACAGATTGTCTATTTATGTTTGTTTAGTTATGGCAACGCAACACTTGGGCGATCTGCCTAGGGAATGCCTTCCGGCAGGTGTTTTTGACCTACCGGAAGGCATCCCTAGGCAAAGAAACTGGCCCCTATTTAGGCATCCCCTAGGCAAGAGAAACCGGCCTCTATTTAGGCGTTATAGACATGGAGAAAACCCGGAAAACTCCACGTGGCCAGCCCGTCCGGAACCCATGACCGAACTCCCAATGTTCAGGGTACGAAGACGGATTGGTCACTGGTGAGCCATGTCTACTTGTGATCTTTCGCGAGATATCTCAATAACTCTACCCCGACATGCAAGAAACACTACTGTTATCACTTTCCAATGAAACGTCAACAAAAGAAAGTTACAAGAAATTGAGATTCGTCTCGCCCTCCCAATATCGACAATTTCCATTAAAGAGTTGGCAAAGTGACTTGCCGATCGACTGAAATAGTCGGCTGCTATAAATTCCTGCTTTTGGAATTAAAGAAAAAATTACAATACGACAAAATTACGTTATGTTTTGTCTTTAGTTACAGTTCACTCTCTCTGATCCGAACCAATTTTATTCATTTTTTCCACTAAATTCTGCGTCCGAAAATAAGAAGAAATCATAGTTTATCTTTTAAAAACATGAAAAACTTGTGAAATTAATATATACTATAGATCTTAACATACACATGTATAGGCTAATAAATACAAATGTATAAAAGTAACCAAAATGTACCAAAATACATGTATAAACGAATTTTTAAAGCTATAAACTAAGTTTTTTTTTTAACTTTCTTTGTTTTACATATAATCTTGTTAATTAATCCGTACAATCCTGCATAATAATTGCTTTGCATTTGGGAAATACACATGACTATATAATCCATCTGTACAATTGCAATTTTTCTCTTCAAAAGGTAATCAGTCAACCGATATTTGTAATCAATCCAATAGATTTTTATACACAAATACAGAGAATTCTGTAGGGACTGTAATCAAGATCATGAATTTTTAATAAAAAATTGTTCGTAGTTTAAATAATAGAATAAATACTATTTTTCATGTATTCAAATATTGAAATTCTTGACATAGATTAATTAACACAACATTAATATAGATTTATATAAGATAGAAGAGAAGGTGGTATTATGGAATCCAAATTACATTTTAGTGAATTGTAAACAAGGTATCATAACTACACCCACATTTTTTTGTGCAAAAAGTACTTGTAACTATTAAACTAAATGTTCCTAATTGGATTTTTCGTTAGTGTAACTATAAGTATGGTTTTTGAAGGCTTTTGTATAAAAAGTCAGAAAGTAGGCTTAGAGAAAATCGGGTGGTAATATGGAACCTTACTGTATATTTTCAAAAAATGTTTTAATGTAGTCAAAAACAAATAGGAAAGTACAAAGAATGTTAAATAATTACAAAATCATTTACTCCAATGTATTTTAACGTAAAAATAAAAAGTCATAAGATGGCAATTACTTTAATAAGAAAAATAGTCTAATTTTTTTATTCTCAGCAACTACGACATTTGGTAAAATATAGACTAATAGTCTACAAAATTTAATTTTTGAAAAACAAGAAAATTTAATATTTTAAAATTAGTCTATATGTAAATGCACCATCTTACCCCACCTATGAGGTTTATTTTTATAGACTATAGACTACAAGAATAACAAATTAAAATGGTTAAACTATCGCTTTCTTCAATATTGGCACAAGAACAGTGTGCCCATTTATCACAACTGCTACATTTATTGTTATTTTTCAAATAAATAAACATAAAAGTTTGAACTTACTTGTAGACTATTTACTTTACCAGACGATACTGTCACTTCGCGCATGCTCAGTTTCGCTATTTTGTAAGCAGACGATATTTTTTTTTATGAAAAAAATGTTTATTTCGATTGTTATCTTACATTTTATTTCTTGTTAAGATAGTATTTAAATTAAAAAAATGTTTTCATAAATAAAATAAAACGTAAAAATATTATTTTATGGTTTGAATTTGTTGGTAATACCGAACACCAGGGGAGTTGGGTTCCGTATTAAAAGCACCAATGGGGTCCGTATTTCACGCGTCTCCATCTTGGGTTAACTTAATTCCTGTCTGCACCAAACTTTAAAAACGTGAAAATCACACAGATTAATATATACCCCTAAGTCTCTGGAACGGAATACATGCACCAGTGAACCTACAACTACACGATTTATATTTTAAAAATAATTAAATTCACTTAGCATTCAAAACTTGCGAATTTTGAAAAAAACAAATTTGCTGATTAAATTCGGACAACTGTTTAACTGAAGTAAAACGGGTTTTCCCCTTGCTATGGATGTCTGCCTAGTTCAGTTCAGCCACATTCCGCTACAGTTCGCCTTTATTATCAGTTCGAAATGGGGTGGTTCCATAATACCCGTAGTGTTCCTTAATACCACCTTCTCCTCTAACTGTATGTTAGCAAGCATTTCGTAAAGTTTAGAATGCAGTTTTATATGAAAAAATGAGAGAATGAATCTTTTACATGAATCGAGTTTAACAGCTTTCATAATAACTAATGAATACTATTCATAGTAAATAAGGAATTTACTCTTTAAACCGCCTTGGGACAAGAACATGTCAACTCAAGTTTATTTATTAAATCTCTATACACATAGGACAAGTATGTTTTCCAGATTCATGACTCAGTTTCTCATAGACTAGTCTATCAACCTTTGTATAATTAATCACCTGTAACCTGTCTAAATACAGGGAAATTCAGAACTTCAAAATAATTTTCACAGAAACTTGAAAAAATGAATTAACATGTTCTTGTTCCAAGGTCTTCGATTAATCCTTTGAGGAAGAATTGTAAATAATGAAAAAATTTGAACTTTTTTTTTAAGAGTAAGTTAAATGTAGTCTGTGTACTTCAATTTTCTACGTACAGTAAATATACATTAAAAAATAATAATAAGGCATGGGACAAATGTGTCTCAATCTGTGTCAATGGTACAAAAGCATATAGGTTGAAGATATATACCAGCAGTTGGATTAATGACTTAGAAAGTCTTTTATTTAAAAAAAACCCACATAATTGTTTTTATGTATAGCTTGAAGTAGTCTTTGTTACTTATTGGACACACATGAACTTGGCAAGTCATGCAGATGGCATTTGTGCTGTTGTCAATGTTTCTTTGGGCACATTGTTTGCAGAATTTTTTCCATGCATGTTGTGTTTGGTAAGTGATTACTCTATTCCTGTCGATCTTCTCCCTTCCATTTTTGAAGCATAAGTGTAGAGAGCATGCTTCTTTTTTGAAAAGGTTCTTTGAAAATTATAAGTCCTCATGCAAGAGAGCTCCTGAAGTCAATGGACTTCAGTTTTGAATTCAAGTTGAGTATTTACCAAACAACGAAGACATTGTTCACAGAAATATCAAGAACATCATTGAAAAGTCAAAATAAAATCAAATTTAAAATAATACTTTATTTTAGATTTTCTGTCCGTTTTAAAAGTCTCTTTTTCTTGTCTACTAGTAGCCCGGGACGCCCCCTAGTGGACGTTCTTTACAAATTTCCATGAGGCACGGTTCCTTTGACTTTTTTGTTCCTATCAATATGTTCTACAGCTCTGTTAAAGTCCGAATGGTAAGATTTACCCTCCGAATGAAGAGGTGGCGAACCCCCAAACCGTAGACCCCTGTACTAACAATAAACTCAAAGGAACCGTACCCCTACTCGCGACCCTTCGAGAGATATAAGCCCCTGAAAAAATAAATTCCTATTACAAATATACTGAATTATTTATATTGTTATATTGACCAAATAATAATTTATTGGTTAAATGAATAATAAAAATTTATATTGTTAATTTAAATAAGAATTAAAATTGTTAATTTGAAAGTTTGAAATATGACACACGATAGGGGCGCCTCTAGTGTCCGTTTTCAAACGGTTACGGGACAGACGGACACGTTGGATGGGTTATATATATAGATGAGGTCCATTTCACTCATAAATTTATTGTAGATCTGCACAATGTTAGAGTAGTTGTTTTTTGTTTCTTTTCTTTCTCCCTTCGATATCCTTCTCGTCCAAATCATATTCTTCTTCATCGCTGTAATCAACAATTCATCAACTTCGCTAATGAAAGTTTGAATTATCTACTGCACTATTTACTTGCCATGGTTTTATTTTTGAATGTTTTATGTAAAAAAAAAATATTATCTGCTATATTGATTATTCATGGAAAGCTTGAACTAAAATCAATTACAAACTAACCTTACCAGGAAAAGTTGAAAATACAAAGTAAAAGGCAGAAACAAACAGTACGACTCCTTTACAAGGTATCGCACTAAAGCCAGTAATGCTTGTATATGAAAAAAATTGAAGTTAAAAAAAATTGTAAAGAGCACTTTAGTAAAAATATACAGCAAACACTACAATGTTAAAACTTATCGTTATTATTATTATATTTTAAACATTGACAAATCTTACAGATAGAAACTTCAATCATTGTTATAGTTATATCAGAGTTAACAGATATATCTAACGACTCTGGTAATGTATAACAATTCTTCACGCAGAAAGGGACAGCCGTATACCATCTGTTTCAAAGGATTAACATACAATGAAGTGAACGTTTCATAACATTTAAATTTTGGGACTTGGTTTTACAATTTTATTTTACTTACCAGCTTCTATATCCATACAGAAATCATAAAAATAAATAAACTCATAATCTAATATGAAATAAAATGCTAAAATGAGATACATACTCTGTGAAGCTTCTTCACATAACGATCCTTGCCACTCGCTTGAGCATTGACAGGTAAACGAAGTTTGCTGATTTATACAAGTGCCTCCATTCCTACATGGATTACTGTCACATGGATTTGTAGGAGTCTCACATAAAGTTCCTGTATAGCCAGGAGAGCATATACATATATAATTATTTCCGCTAACCTGAAAAAAAGAGTTAAATTTATAGATATAACGTTTTTAAAGAATAACTGGTAGAAAAATATATTAATAATTTTAAATTAAATGTTTACTTGACAACTTCCGTGTAAACATGGATTAGCTTCACAAGCTGTACCAGTAGCAGTTATGCAACCATTTGGTCCAACTCCGCTTCCTGTCAAACCACTTGGACAACGACATTCTCTGTATAATGGCGATATAGCTATAAAAAAGATAACACGTTTTTAATTAATATATAAATAACATATATGTATTTAATTATAAACGTATACTTCATTTTTGTAGTGCAAATAAAAAAAGTGTCATTAAAAAACATTATTTCTATACAAATGAATGTTATGATTGATATATATATACAGTACATGCAACTTTTGAGTGAAAATTGAATATGTGGAATACAGAGATTAGTTTAAATCTCTGTTGGTAGAGGCCCCAGACAATTGCCCTTTTTGCCCATACGCTCCACTGTATTGAAATTATTTGACAGGTTAATAAATGCTCTTATTTTGCAATAAAAGTAATAGTGAAAGAAACATTAAGAAATACTAATATACAGTACAGTATAATAATAATATCAATGAAATGAACTATAAATGCTTATTAACTCAAGAAAATCAATAATCAACTATTTTCTTGTTTGAAAAATATAGGTTCTTATTAAAAAATGAAAATTATTTTACCTGTATTTTCAATACAAGTTGCAAGAGGATGACATCCTCCATTATTCATCCTGCATGCTCCTGAAAATGTACAATATTCTCCATTTCCAGTATAACCTTTATAAAAGAAAGTTTATTGTTAAATATGTAGAAAATTTTTCGATTTTATCTTAATAAATAAATTTTTATTAAGTTTTCATTTTATTTAATCTCTTTCTTTTGTAAAACTTGTGACTTTTACGAATTAACATGACAATATAGCGTATCAATTTTAATTTCAGAATTTTATTACAATAAAATCTTTTATATGAAATTGAAAATAAATTCATAATTTTATTCCATTCATAATTATCATAAAAAATGGAATGTCTAACTATAAAGAAAGCAATAAAAAATGAACTAACCTGCAGGGCATGGACCACAAGATCTAGATCCGATATTATTCATACATTGTACCATAGGTGATACAGAACATCCTCCATTATTTACTAGACACTCATTAATATCAGTACAGGAATATCCATTTCCTGAGTAGCCTGTATATTAAAAATAAGTCTATAATAATAATAATATATTTGATGATAGGTTAATGAATATATAGGTTAATATTTGATTAAAACAACTAAATATACAGTGCACTCATACATTCCTCCTTACTGGGCAAAACCTATGTGATACAGCTGAATGGTGACGTCATAATTGTTATATTATTAAGCAAAATAAAGAAAATTGTATGTGGCGTCATCTGTTATGAAATTTTGTTTTAAATACCTTCACACATACACACACATTATGATTAAATTTAGTTATATTCGTTGGATATTTACCCCTAAAACATCATTAAAATACATTGTCACTTATCTTAGAAGTGAATGAAATTTAAGTTGCAAAATTTGAAGACGATAGAAAACAAGTTAAATAAAAAAAATTATTCGTCTTGATAGGGCATTCTAATAATGATAAAACTTGTAAAATAATTAACGCTCTAAATAGATAAATAAACTACAAGTGTAGATATCTGAATAATAGAGAGGTTGGGGCCGAAGTTTTCATCTTTAAAACGTGAACGTCGAACGTCGAGCGCCATTATCTTGTAAGCGGCGCTAGACGTTCGATGATCACGTTTTACAGATGAAAACTTCGACCGCAACCTCTCTAATATTCTGATCATTAAATAAAGGCAAGATAAAGTTGAACAAGTATCGAGATCAGAATTTAATAGTTCGTGAATTAAATTATTTCAAAGAGTAAATCATTTTATTTCAATAAGAGAATAAAGCAAACTGAAATATGAGCAACATGGAATAGAGAATTAATAAATAAATGGGACTAATCTAATCACATGAAAATCAATTAAGAATATTCATAAACGAGTTAAATGTTAATCAATTCCTAAAGTATCTTTACTACATCATAGTATTGTTTTCCGGGATTGTCCCGGATTTTTTCCGACTGCCAGCTAACAACAGAAAGAATTTATTCTAAAAACTGTTCCTACAATAAAGTATCTTTTTTTCGTGTTGTAAATGTATTTCTGTCACTGGCAGAGTAAAAATACACATATTGATGTCCTGAAATTGAAACGTCCCGGTATCTTTCGAGAAGAATTCATTTTGCTACGGATTTTATCCCAAAGTATCTGGTAACTCTGTCATGCATTAGTGTATATCTTATGGTAGCCTGTATAAAAATATAATTTAAATCATGGTGTAAGAATATAGGTGATACCACTCTCCATTTAAGAACGTTGGCGAAGTGATTGAGCTTACTCGAGTATCCACCAGATGTAAAAGTTCAATTTTTACCATCGATTACCACTAGCAACAATTGCTAATTGAACTCTAATTTTGTGTTAATTTCAATAAAATTAGTGAAATTTACATTAGTTCTCGATCTGCACACAGTATCGCACGTTTCCATTTTTAAAACAATTCCAAATCTTTTGGTGCCTTAAATACATTTACTATTTGTTTCTTTCGATAATAATTACCTTTTCAATTATGCACACATCATTTAAGAGATATGATTTTGTAAGAATTTCTTAAAAACACTGTCGAACGAAGCGATAATAAGGGATAAATAACGATATTAAATGGAATTCCGATACCCGGCACCTGATGGAGAACGTCTGAAGTACGACCACATTCCTGACATGTTTTCAACAGTCAAACAATAGGAGTAGTATCACTTGTATTCTTACACAAAGATTTAAATATATAATTATAAAATATTTTAAAAATATAATACCTGGTGGGCAAGGTCCACAATGAAAGCTTCCTAGAGAGTTAATACACTGTACTGGAGGATTTGTTGAACACGAAACATGACTTTCGTGGCATTCGTCTATATCTGTATTGCATGCTGGATTGACTCCATCACTTTTCCAACCTTCATCGCATAAACATTTATATTTGGGCTAGAAAGGTATTTAGTAAATTGTCATTTAAGAATTTTTCATGAAAGATCCATATCAAAATATCAAACTCTGCCTTCATTGACGAATCCATCATGGACAAGGAAAAATGGTTCTCTTAATTAATGGTCAAAGAGCGAAAGGTATTTAAAAGTATAATTTCTCATTTTTATTCATTATCGTCGTAGTATAATCATTGTAATATTTGAAATTTAGTAATCAAATATAAAATTTTTAAAACTATAGGTAATATGATTAAAGAAAATAAAGCAAATAAGCATTGTTCTCTTGAACAAATGAAGATTAAAAACTTACAACACGATATGTTTAATATATTCAAATGATATATAACTTACTTGTCCAGCAAATACTCGATCTAAATCAATGCATGTTCCATGCCCACAAAGTGCTTCGTGTGATGCAGTTTTACAGTCATCGTGTTGTTCTGAACAATGAATTCCATGCCAATTTGCGGGGCATTCACATCTAAAAATGTTGAATTAAATTTATGACACAATAAACTAATTATATAATAGAAATAGTACAATTTCTATTATATAATTACAATAGAAATAGTACAATAATCAGAAAAAGGACAATTTTTAAGTTTTTCTTTTTGATAGATCCCCTAAAGCTCATGGGCCACGGCTTTATCCCCGTCTTCTAGAGCATGATTATTATGGTACCTGTAACTTCCTGGACTGTTATAACACGTTGCACCATTTTGGCATCCAAAAGGTGTTCCAGAATATCGTCCGCATTCATTTACGTCATTTTCACACGTAGGACCCTAATTGTAATTTAAAAAATAATTCGGAAATGTACTTACAAAACATTAAATTAAAAATCTATTGACAATACAAATTAAATTAAAAACATTTATTATTTATAACTTATAATTCATGTAACTGTATAATAAATAATAATTGAATTAGATACATTTAACTTCAATCATAACATGCAATAAATTCTAAATATTTATTGTAAGTTTTCGCGAAATTGAAGACAATTTTGGATTTGTGACGATGTTACAATATCTTATTACGTAACTTAGTAAAGGATTAGTTAAGGATATTAATATTTAATACACCAATACTTAATAATTTATAAATATAAAGCAATATAGTTTAAGCTTAATATATATAAGAAAACGTTTATTATTTTTTATATGTATAATAATAAAAAAATGTATGAAATCGTATGACACATACGTAAGCAAAGAAAATGCAATTAATAAAACTTCTCTCTGTTATAAAATATTAATTCAATCTAAATATATAAAATTGCTTGTCCTGACTGACTCATTCACTGATTCATCATCGCCCAGAGCAAACCGCTTAACCTAAAGAGGTGAAATTTGGTACACAGTTAGGGTACGTCATGGAAACGCACACTAAGAAAGGATTTTTCGAAATTCCAACGCGGGGGGGAGAGGGAGAGGATTAAGTCTTAACCGGAAAAACGGCTTCTACTCTACTATTTTAGATGCGATTTTTTGTTTTTATCTGCGTTTTAGTAGGGAATGCCATGGCAAT